TCAAGCAGCACATCGACAGCGGAGCCACTGTCATTCCAGAACTCCACCTTCGACCAAGTGAATTCACTCAAAAACTCACAACCAATGTTGCGCAATCCGGATACAAGCCAAATGGCTGTGCACCAGCCCACGAAAGCTCAAGCCCGACATGCACCAGCCCCGAAAGCACCCACGCAGCTGCCTGCCATCGGCCATCATCAGTGGGCCCACCCCGAACGATGCCCTTGCGACCATTCAGTGCCTTCGCTCTGGTTTTGCAAGGCCACGGTTTGGCTGACAGATACTCACTTTTCACCTCTAGAACCGAAGAGTCTGCCGGTTTCGTACGGCTTCAATAGTGAATATAGGGGCCTATGATGATAATACGGAATGCCCAAAATGGTATTTATTGGTAATTTTTTCGGCTTCAGTAGTTAGACTAGCTTCTAACTGGTTTGAGGCAGCAGAGTCGAAGCCTTCAGAGGGCTCGAAAGCTTCTCGTACTTGCGATGGCAGCTTGCGCATTCACTAAGAACCTTTCCTGCAACGAACCCAAAAAGTTCTGAAAGACCCTGATAGGAGTTTCTAGCTCCGCAGAACGATGTATGGTCCCAGGGTCCGCCTTCAGACCCAACCCTAAAAACTCCTCCATCCAGAACCCTCAAGCGCAGGGCCCAAGACCCGACCAGCCTGGGCTTTCTGCAAGCCGAAAGCCCGGACGATGCATCCCGGCTCAAGGTCAGCTGGGGACTCCTCGAATGGGCGTGGAAGGCTTCGGGTCCCAACAGACCTTTCCCCGAGACTTACGGAGCATTGGGGGTGAACTCAGGGGGGGGGGGGGGGGGTGGGGTTTGGGGTCCAGTACCCAAAGTTTGGGTGTCGGAGGCGTCGGACTGTCAAGTTGCTAAAGTTGTGAAGATCACGACGGTCCTGCGCACGAGAGATTCGGAAACTAGTGCAAAGTGGTGGTAACAGTGACAGCAGTACAAGTCGTAGCCGTCGCCACAGCCTTTGCCGACGAAGAATACGTAGAAATAGACGTGGACATAGTCGCATCGAGTTAGTAGCAGGAGTGCTGATGAGAAGAAGAAGAGCAACACACGTCATCACTTAGGCGCCTTTAAAAGGACCCCTGGCAAGGCTTGTCAGCCTAGGGCCCAGAGCTGCTCTCCTCCAAACTCACCGGCGGAGCCGACGAGACGGAGGGCAGTGACGGCAGCACCCGCGGCGGCACGACGGTGGGCGCCGGAGGCGGCACCGTCGGTGCAGGTTCTGGCTCTGGGACTCCCAGACCTGCTCGAGTTCTCAAGGAGAGTGTCGGAGCTTCGGGAGGTACGTCCGGGACTCTGACCTGGGATTGTGGAGACTGTGGGCAAGGCGGTGGAAGTGGGCCGAGACTGAGTGCCAAAATCCCATGGAAGCTTACTTAAATCGACAGGCAAACCCAAGCGGCATCCTGACTTTCCTATCGACACAACTGTGCAGTACACGCGTACCCCAAAAACAAGGCCTTCCGATTCGACTTCCGCGTCGCCGCTTGTGGGCAACTCCTCTGTGGAGGCTGCTGGCGCCGCTGCTTCTGGGGCTGCCTCCTGGGATTCTGGGTTTCAGCCGCTCGACGGTTTTACCAATTTAGGCTCTGTTAGGCTCCAAATGGCTGTACCTGGTCTTGGATCTCAGGCCTGGCTTTGAAGCATGGAGCTTGGGGCAAAAGACGAAATGCCAGGCATTGAAATCGACACAACCCCTCAAAGTCGACACAACCCTACAGCGACGGTTGAAAGTCGATCAGACTGAACTACCCACCCAAACCCTGGACCCTAACCAGTCCTAACTATAAATGAGCCCCTACACCCAAACCATGATCCCAGAAATCTAAAGACAGACCCCCTTCAAGCCTCAACCTGAACCCTCGCCATAGGCCCCATGATTTCATCAATCCTAAACCCTAAACCTAAAGAGCCTAAAGAGCCGAGAAGCACTAAAAAAGGCCCAAGAACGCTTCAATCCCACACTTCCCCAAGCTTGCAGCTCCAGCTTCGGCCTCTTCGTCGAGGTCGTCGAGAAGCGAAGAAGCATCCAGAAACCTGGGATTCTTTCCATCCCCCAGTGGCTAGCCTTTCTCTGAGGTACCAGACTGGTCTTTGAGCTTCGTAAATTCGTCGGTTTAGGGTTCAGAGAGTGTCTAAGACTTTGCTCAGAGATCAGGGTTCATCCAGTGACAGTTAGGGATCAAAGGGGGCATGAGGACAATCACGGTGCAAAGTTTCAAGCGGCAACTGCAGGGCTTCGGGATCAGGGTTTAGGGTTTAGGTTTCGGGACCAGGATAGTGTGGATCTTAGAGTGTAGAGTATAAACCTCCAGGTAATAAAGCCCCCTTGTTCAAGGACCGCCACTCCAGGACATCCTTATCTTCCTTACCCGGAAAGGGTTACTATGAAACCTGTGCGGTAGCCATACTTTGGTTCCTTAAGGGCATGTCCTTTTTTGACTCGGGTAGTCAAAAGAAAGTGGTCACCGTTCCTTCACGAGAAATCCGCTGAGACTCTCTGCAGTCGGAAGGGTCTGAAAAGTCAGTAAACCTCTTCAAACAAGGACCCTCATCCCTAAACCCTGTGAAATCCAGAGTCCAAAACCCTAAACCCTGAACCCTAAACCCCAAGCTACCTCAACTGAAACGATACCAACCCTGAACCCGACGCCACCCCAACACAAAACTCTAAAACCCAGGTCTCGAATCCCAAAGTCTCATGCGGGATCGAGGCTGTTGTGCGATCGCCTGGCGGGCCTCGTAACCCTCCTCTGAAGAAGGGCTTTGCGGGGTTTCAGGGTTTGAGGGGGTTAAGGTCTACGGAGTCTCCGGCTTGAGGGTTTGAGGTTCAGTGCGTTCAAGGGCTTCGGGAGTCGAGTTTGCGACAGCTCCGGGCCTGGAGTTGCACCAATGAGACAAAAAGAGAGAAATGACGGCAGCATGTGGAAGTCACCATTGAGATGTGATAGAGTGATAGTTGATTTCAGGGCCTAGGGTCTAGAGGTCGAGGAACTGAGCTTACAAGGTGACAAAGCGTCTCGGCTTTAGCGTTTTTTTAACTCTCTGGAGGTTCGGGTTCCATGGTTGGAAGAAAAGTATACCCAGAACATCCCTAAACCCTAATTTTTATACCTTTTTATATACCCTAAACCCTAAGCCATGCGAGGCATGGAGCTTGGACAGAAAAGCTGCAGGGTCTGCGCTTAACCTGAGGCCTTCAACACAATGAGGCATGGAGAAGCCGAAGGCAAACAAGTTCCCACCGAAGTGTTTAGGAGTTTCGGTTCAGGGCTTAGGGTTTAGGGTAGGGTTTGTTTGGGTTTACTGCTTTGGTCCTTCAGCTCGTCCACAACTTCTTCCTCGTCACTCGCATAGTCCCCGAGAAGCCCTAGCAACGAGGATATTCGAGCGCGGACAATGAAGCTTTCAGGATTCGAGAGCTTCGATCATGGTGGCAAAGGGCGCGAGGTTTGGGTAGGGTTTTGGGGTAGACCATCAAGCCACTCTAAGGGAATCCTACTGGATTCTACTGCCCACTGCGCCCTCCCTACATACTGAAACTGGAGCTCTTGCACCGAGTTGGGGCACCCAAAGACATGGGAGACTTCATGCGTCCCCACATTTGGGGTGGTTCTCGAACTTAGGGCCCCTTTTAGGGTCCTTTTTGTAAGGGAGCCGTACTAGAATGGGGACCGAAAAAGGGACCCTAACTTAGAAAACTACCCATTTAGGGGTTGGCTTAGGACTCACGACCGAGCCCAGGAGCTCCTATAGAATGATTCCTCATGTTGGCTAATGTGAGGGCCAGAATAATTAGAATAGGGTTTGAGGGGGTTAAAGTATGATACAAGTATAGAAAGGAACCCTAAGGAATAATATTGGTAATTATTGAGGTTTCTGTGTTATGGTTTTCCTTGCTCCCAGGCTCTTCTCGAGAAACCCCAACAGATCCGAAACGACGTGAGGTTCGCCTGCGCTCATGGCTGCCGCAGCGTGACGCCGTAGCCAGGGCCCATGGTGCCACCGGACGGTTCAGAATTTTGAAGGCTACAGCTGCTCTTGGGGTGAGGGGCGCGTTTCTGTGAACTGCGTAAGGCCTAGAAGGTGTCTGTGAAGGGGGGCTCGGGGGCGGGATGGTGTTTTGTGAGTCCGTGTCTTTGCCTTCACGACGGTTGAGGCTTCAGGAGTTGAAGCGCCAGATCGTTGCAGGTGCGAGGTGCGGGTTTGGGGCTGCGTGCTGGGGGGTGTTAAAAGTTCGGCTGTGCAGACATGTTGTGTTTCTTTTGGACTGCAGCCTGTTCCTTCCTCCTTGTGGAGCTATGTATCACCTTTCTACATAAAGCCGCCGAAGTCGCGGAAGTGTTGAGCACAACTACACTCCACACCCCGGCATTGCAGAATGAAGGTGGCGAGGCTAACCTCAACAACACCTCGAGCTCCAACGCCCAACAGCCCGACTCGGAGTCCCAAAACTGAAACCTGTGTCCACAAAACCCGGCATCCCGAATCCGTAAGCCTCAACACCCCGAGTCCTAAACCGAGCTCCTGAACCCGGAAAGCCCGAACCTTAAACCTCTGGCCTAAACCTCTGGGAGGGAGTTGGAAGGGACCCCGGGCTGCTGTCGCCGGGTCGGATCATCCACCCAGATGAGTTCGATAAACTCCTGTCAGAGCAGAGTGTGGGGTTTAAGGCCTGAGGAAAAGAAAGGGTTTGTGGATCTAAAGGGTCTTATGAAGGTCCTGCAGATGCACCGATATCGAGCAGAAGGTGCCGGCTTAAAGTTGTAGGGCTAAGTAAGGTGTTAGGTTTCGGGCGAACTTATCGGGACTACTTATGTACATATCATTCGTGCATTGCCCCGATGGCTGGTGGCAACGATGATGACGCTGATGATGCTGCTGCTGATGATGATGATGATGATGGTGATGATGATGATGATGATGATGATGATGATTGGTCGATGGTCATAACGACACTGCTCATGCCGACTACATCACAAGGTTAGGTTGTTATCATCAGCATCACCAGTACCACCGCCAGTACCAGTGTCTAACCTCAGAAGAACGGATCGGCTTCTCCAGACATCAAGTTCAGGACGAAGCTCAAGACCGCCCTCATGGAAACACAGAGACCCAGAACTTTCGGGCTTAGGGCTTAGGGTCCTGGGGTCAGGAGTTTAGGACTCAGGGCTAAAGGATCATGATCGATTTGCATAAGATTCAGGATCAGGGCTGAAGGATCTCGGCTCATGACTTAAAGCATTCAGGGAGGCTCAAGAAAGAGAAAGAGACCAAGAGCTAGACGGTGGCTTCCACAAGTCCTGCGACCAGGCAGTAGGATCACTCCTGCCGCAGGGAAGCAAGTATGTCGGGCGTCAGAAGATGAAGAGGTTCCTTTCACGGGGTCTTCAAGGAAAAGCACATCCATCTGGGATTTAGGTTTTCTGTTCGCTGCATGACATGCTTCTATATTGCTGTACGGCACCCACCAATGGCAAGCACGACCCTAAACCCTAAACCCTAAACCCTAAGCTCTAGTTGTCAGCTGTGGGTGTGTCGGTTGGAGGCTCAGAGTCTCGAGGTGGGCGACTTTCAAAACGTGAGAAGATAGTCAGTCTGGAACTTCAGGTGGGAATCTGAAGCTCATCTGAACCCTTATATTATATATAACCTAAGCCAGAGCTCAAAAGCTCAAAAACCGTAAACCCCTAGCCCCTTTGCACACAAGAGCCGAAACCCGAATCTATGAGACTCGAAACCCTGTCCAACCTCGCTTTCCAGGCGACGTTGACACCTCTTTCCCTGTATTGCACGGCCAACGACCTGCGGAACTGGCTCTGAAATTAAGACATGGTTAGGGTGCATATTGAACGGGTTAGGATGGAGTTTCTCGAGTGCTTCGAGATGGGTGCTGTGCAGTCTTGCGGAGACAATGAATCCCTGCACCACCACCCACAGCCCCAAATCCAAAACTCAAGCCCTGAGCCCACAAAAGCCCTGACAGCCGCTTCTGGAAGGCCTCTCACTCAGCTTGCTGAGTGAGTTGAAGAAGTGGCAGAGGAGCCTCTCCACCTAAGGCGGTGATCTTGAGAGTTTAGCAACCTTTAGCCTATAACGGTGTGACCGTTCTATTTCCACCCTGTAGTTTCTGGACATAATGCGTAGGTTGAAATGTCGGGACTTCAGGGGTTTCGGGTGCTTCGGGGAGTGCGGCTTTCTGGACTTTATTGTGGGGTTTTGCGGTTTTGAGAATGTGGTGGGCTTTTGGTTCTTGGGGCTTCAGGGTTTGGAATTCTTGGCTTCTTTGGATTGTTCGTCGAGAATTTTGGGGTTTTGGGGGGTGGTCTTCACAGCATAGGACATAGGACGCCGGGCTCCAGGCTGCAAGGGTTCCGTGGGAGCGTTTAGGGTTCTGAGGGTTGTGAGGGTTCAAAGAGTTCTGCAGGCCGTCGGGGTTGGAGGGGCTCAGGGCGGAGCTTTAGATGCAGGGTCCAGCGGGACAGTGGCCGAGGTTTCCGGCCTAGTGGCTTACGGGCTCCTCCCTAAAGCAGATGCCAAGGTGGCGGCAGATGTTCCTGGCGGCAGGTCCGTTGCAAGCTGTAGCGCCTGGCAAGCAAGCGCGCGCATGCGACGTAAGACACACGCCTGCAGCCAAAAACGACCATCCTGTTCGTCATGTCGACAGACACAGACTTCATGACAACGGCTACACGACTACAGAAGAGTGCGCTAGCGCTGAGAAATGCAGATGCCCGAACACGTAGCAATCTACCGGAATCTGTGCGAACCTAGCAAAACCCAATGCCAAACCAATGAAACCATGAAGACCAAACCCATAAACAGAGCACCGACGACGTGATTCAACGCTTCTCGCCTCGCCGCCCTATTCATGATATACTATAAAATACTTTTTTTATCGATTTTATCGACAAGAATATACTATAGTATACTTTCACAGACTACAAGATACTATAAGATACCACCACTCCGAAGGCCGGGACCCTGCAGTCAAAAGCCGCCAAGGGGCGGTGTAGGCCCAGGCGAAAGAAGGCAGCCCGCCCTTCGAGAGAAATTTTTGTTGGGAGGCTTGGGGCGGGTTGGGCTAGGGGGTTTAGGGTCGTGGGTTTAGGGCTTTCGGGTCTGAAAGGGTTTTGGGCTCTAATTACCTCCCCCATAAACAGCTCCACAAACCCAAACATTCTCCAACAAACCCTCAACTGTAAAAACCCAAAAAAAGCCTCGCCCTCTCGCAAAGGACCCACCATGGAGACCTCGGCGCCGATGGGAAGCCCACGTTGCCGCAGCCAGTACCTCCGCTCCGGTTCTCTTCGGCTTGGGGCGGTTTGGGGGTCTTACCATATGGGGGTTTCCGAAAATAGGGGACCCTAATATAGTATCCTCCTTAATAGGATCCTTATTATAAGGACCCCAGAAAAGTCCCATATGCTGTAAGAAGATTTGACCGGCTTGCGGTTCGTAAACATACGGAACCAAACAGAGATGATACTTTTGACAGCATGGATTCACTGGCAATGCAACCTGACAATGTAGTCACTCGCAGTGCAACGGAATCCATGCTGTGCAGATGCCGGAGCCTCCATGTTCTGCCGAATCGTAAACTCTAAAGACCCAAATCCAGCAAGGGAGAGCAGGAAAGGCACAACTGCCCAGAAATCCCTGCAAGGGCTCACTTTATCAGTCGGATGCACGTCTTGAGCTCGTTCCGGCCTTTGCCGCGGCGTGTGATTTGGGTTTAGGGATCCGGTCCCTTCCCACCAGGCTTGCAAAAGGTCGTGAAGGCTGACCACGTAAGCTTGATGTATGGAGCCCATTTTCAGTGAAGGGCTTGCAGCATTTGAGCTTTGTCTTGTTCTGAATGCCTAACTGGACTTGGCTTGGTGGCCAGGTTAACGAATTTCGGTATAGAGTGGTTAAGATATCACGGCCAAAACCTACGGTTTAGGACACAGAGTCGAATGAAACCCTTAGAACTCCCTTCAGCCTGAGACCCTGCGTTTCGAAGGCACCCCCCGGTCGAAGCACGGCCACCTGGCCTGCGAGGGCCTCCTGAAGGAGCTTCCGGTGCTGTATTGCGTGCATCTGGTCCACGACCACCTAACAGCGACGAAGGCTCAAAAACCCAGGGTTTAGGCGCCCATTATAACTATAATTATAATAATGACCCCCCAAAAAATAATAGTCTAGGGTTTTTGTGGTTCAAAGGTGCCGGGATGGGTGATTGTGTTGACTTTGCCATGCTGACAAAGACAGGAGTTCACGAAGCGAGGACACCCCCAAATACTGCAAGTCACAAGCCCCCGCGAAGTAAGCTGGCCCTTTTGAAGAGTCCGGGGTCCCGAACCCACGCCGAATTAGGAGCTCCTTCGGACGCCGAAAATGTTCAGTCTAAATCAAAAATGAAGTCAAACTCCAATGTAGGGGCCTTGATCATCAGAACAGGGTCCTTTCTACCACAATTATAATAAGGAATCCCCAAATAGCATTCAAGATTAAACCCGGCACCCCAAGCTCTGAACCCTGAATCCACTGGGGCCAAAGCATCGCAGGACAGGCCCTGCTGGTCGTACAAACGGAGGAGGGGGACTTTCCTGCATGCCGGGTTTTGGGCGCTCGAGCGTTGCGGGTCTCGGCTGTTTTGGCTTCGGGCCCCTGTCCGTTTGCCATCCTCCAGGGGGATCACCTCTAATTCCTTCCTGTCCGACTTCCCGTCCCGCCTCCCTTCACACAGCTGCAGGGGTTTGAAGTCTATGGCTGGGCCGGTGTTCATGTTTATGAGTCCTCAAGCTTGGATATTGGAGACCAGGGCATTCAATGAAGTAGACGTGCATGCTTCGGAAAACCTTCTTTGGAGGATCCCGTGCTGTAGAACCAGACCCGAATCCCTAGCCTGAAGTACTACTGTACAACCTAAACTCCCAAGCTCCTCCACTCCTCAACGGGGATCCTTTGGGCCTTCGAAC